CACCTTCTCTCCTCAATTCTTTCATATTGCTGTTGCCATCACCTTGGACTCATGTCATTTTCACAAATATTATCACAATGATACAGTGAAGAATCTAAATACATTAAAAAGGCTTTCTCACGCTCTCTTTAGAATGACAATCATTACTACTCATCTTCATGTAACTCCTCTTTGCTGTTCACCTTCCATTGTTGGACACCTTCTACTGTACTTAATAAATCCTTTATTTTAAGGGTTTGTCTTTCTCACCCATCATGTTCAGTCTTTTGGAGAGCATTAGACTCTTAATCTCAGGGTCGTGGGTTTGAGCCCCATGTTGGGCACCAAACGACTGATGTGGTTTAACCAGGAAGGGTCCCTGCCCGCCCCACGGCCCACTCTCCACTCTCCGCCCTCTGGTGGTACGAGGAGGAGAAAATATAAAGAAAAGGGGCTCAGGGGTTGAGACACAGTTTACTGGAATAGTAAGGGAGAAACAACATCAAACAACAACAACAGTACTAATGAAAGAGCATACCATGTAAAAGAAAAAGTTGAACTAAAAACAGCCTACCACGGGACCGGCTCACAAACTACAGCACCCAGCAGACCCCTCCTCCCGGAACTTCCCTGTGAATATGGTCAGTGGTATGGAACACCTGCCCTGGCCGCCCCACTCCCAATTCCCTGAGAACAATTAACTCTATCCTAACCAAACCCAGGATACATGCAAAAAACAGAACATTTCCTAATGAACAATCACCTTGCAGAAGATCATTATAAATTCCCATCGCAATATACCAAAAAGCCACCGACTAAGTCTGTCCCACAATCCCAATGACAATCTCTGGCACTGTATTTCACAGAATCATAGAATGGTTTGGGTTGGAAGGAACCTTCAGGAATCATCTAGTCCAATCCCCCTGTATGGACAGGGACATCTTTCACTAGATCAGGTTGCTCAAAGCACTTCCCTTTAGGTCAGTTTCTTAACAGAGATAAGAACACATCTCTGTTCTTACAAACGCAGACATGCATGCACACATCCCTTCCACTTCCTTCTACTGACATTCATATCGCTTCCTCTCTTTCAGAACACCAGTCTCAAGCATCATCTTTGACTCGTCCTTTCATCTATTCCCTTATCAGTTCTCTCTATTATCATACCCTTTGCCATCTTCTACCCGTTTAATATAATTTCCTGTAATACATCTTTTGATGTTGTCCAATTTTGCTTTAAATGCACCATTAGCAGTAGAGAAGAAATAAAAATTAACAGGCACTCTTTCACTCAATATGAATAAACATTTTCATTTGCCACAGAGAAAATAATTTCAATCTTTGACAAAAGAAAAAACCCTCCAAAAACAACAAAAGCATTAAACCAAAATGAAACAAGGGGTTTTCAATAAGAAATTGATACTATTGCTTGTAGGTAACAGAGAGAATACTCATCACTATTCAAGTTTTAACTTGGAATCATGCCTAGAGGAAAAAAGTCACAAATAATTATGGCAGACAGCCATACATACAATTCCCCAGTCTTTGTATTTGGTGAAGCTTCCTTAAATATCCCAGGTAAATACATCTATTTCAGAACCACCCAATGCAGTAACAAAGAGGATCCTGAATTCTCTTTATTAAAGCTAAATTCTAGTGCAAACACTGTGACTCCAAGGCCCTTCCTGACTTCAGATACCAGTGAATCTTAAATACACCCTAACAAAGTGGATATATTCTAGCAGACCTGGCAAGCACCTGCCAGAACCCTTCTGATGGTCACAAAAGGGAGGTTAGCACAGGCACCACCACAGCAAACTGACATTTCAAGCCAATGTTTGAGCTGTCATGAAGGATCAGATGACATGTTTTTATTTAAGCATGAATTATTTTGAAATAGAAATGGGAATTTCAGCAAGTTGCGGGTTGAACAAATTGATTCTGTACAATCTATTTTTCACTTTTGCTCCAGATAGGAAGTTTAAGAAATTCACACTACATGGAGAGTCAAAGAAATTGATGGTTTCATACAAGCACTATATCACTGCCAGAAGCTCAAGCTAAACCAATCACTTTTTAACTAGAAATGGGCCTGAGACATGATGTTCTGATCTCAATCTGAACTTCACAAAGTTCATGGTGGTTATGTTAGGATTTGGCATTTAGCTTAGGAACTTCATCACTTCTAACTGTGAAGAAAAATCTTTTAAAGTAACAGTGGACTGTCCTCTATCAAGTTTAATAGAAATCAATGAATCAGCTTGATCCGATCTCATTTCAACACTGTAAGAAGTCTAAATAGTGTCTTTTAGCACTGCAGTTATCATAAAACCCTCTAAGTCTCTCTGGGAGTTGTTCTAGTATGGATGTGAATTCCAATATGAACAGGATTTGAGGACATCCGCGGACATATTTGCCTGGTAATTACTGGCTAAAGCACAAACTTGAGCCAGGGAAAGATTTTTAGAACAACAGAGCCCTCTAACGGTTTAATGCTGTATTATTGGGTTTTTCTTCAGTAAAAATAATTCGGTTTTCAACTTGAAAATAAAACACAAGATGTACCGAGAGAAGAATTACAGACTATGAAAGCTTAAACACAGAAGCTATTTCTTCTGATTCCCAAATACCCAGAAATTGCATAAAGAAAGAGACATTGTTTAAACAGAGAATCTAAAAAGAAACCTCTTAAGACCATTTGATATTTTTGGCTTTAAGTAAATAAGCTTTAAGAAGTTGATTTTACACCATTGTTTGTAATAGTCACACACACAGAAGGAGCTGACAGGCTGTCTGCATGTCTAACCATCACCCTCTTTCAGAGCTTGATCTTGGTTTGCCTTCTGCTGCACTGCAGTCAGTGATCTCTGCAGAGCACCCATGTAGTAGAAGGGAATAAACATCTAGTAGAAAGGCCGTATATGGATGTATGCTTTCATGGTCACCTAAAGCAAATCTGAAATCACTGATATTGAAAGGGCAGAGCTGTTACAACTTACCATATAGCTGCACAAGCAATAGAAACAATGTACACATGCATACACAAAATAGTAATATTTTAAAAATCTATAAAAAATAAATTGATTGGGGGAGGGTGGAGCAGTCTTAGATTGCCTTAGATAGACATAATCTACACCCTGAAAACATATAACAGAGCAATCAAGAACCCTTCAACAGCAAATGGTGCTGGAAGAGTTTTGAATCAATATTTATATTCAGAAAAACTGACTCAGCTCAGTGGGCAGAGCTGGGAATGCCCCATATCAACAGAGAAAGATCAAAGGACTACTTGAGTCAAGAGAGATGCTTCCAACAGTTATATGTAGGCAGAGAAAGAAAGAAGGAAAAAAAGCAAAAATTGGATGCCTGGTATGGAGACTCTAAAGAGGGACATGGCTAGTTTCAAATGACCTATCACTCTGGATGAGAAATTCCTCCATGAGTCTGTGTACCTCATTGAAGTACCACATTTGTCCCTTAATCAAGAAGCCCAGAACATTCATAAGGGAGCAGTCAAAAGTATTCAGGGGCATAAGATGAATACAATATTGATTCTGAAGATAGAAGTGGCTCATTACAATGAATATCCACAAAGAGAGGACTCTTATTGATGAGAATGCATTCCAGGGATTCTCACTGAAGAAATACCTGGAAACGCTATCATGGAACAGTAACATTGAGCACTGCAGCACAGTGTGTGTCATCCCATAGGCAGAGACTCTAAAGTTGGTCAACTTCATTCTTTCCACTGGAATGACGTAAGAGAACCTCAGTGAAGTACAGGTTTTCAGAGTGGTGGAGCGGTGTTTGCATTTTAGTTTTGTTCCTCCTTAAAGACATCTAGGTGTAAACTTTACTTAAATAAACAAACTGACAGGTCACCCACCTTTTCATTATAATAATCAACACTGAGGATTTCAGTGTAGCTAAAAAGAGTACTGTGCTCAGCTATGAAGACCAATTCCTCTCCATGGTGCTCATTCAGCAAAACACATGCTGCAAGCTTGAATTCGAATGACATGTAGCCAAATTTCCTGCCATTTCTTGGGAAAGAATAGTAAGATCTAATATTGAACATTATATGGTCACTCAAGCCCATCTAAATAATTTCACACTTCAGATGGTAGCAGGAGAGGAAGTGAGATCAACTCCAAAATGATAAGTCTTACTAAGAGACCATTCACATTTGAAACAAGAGTTTGCCTGTACACAAATCTGAGAGAAAATGAGAACAAGGCAAGCATGTAGCACTACCTCCTCCAAAAGCCCTCCCAGGTTCCAACAACTTGTGAGTAATGAATTTCCTCACACAGAAACACCACCTTCCATTTAATGTCCTGCAGTAGATTTTTCTTCCACTAGTTCACAGTCATTCACTGAACCCAATTATCCCCATTTATCCCCCATCTACAGCATCTGAAAGAGTTCCACAGTTAACTACTTTATATCATAATATAGTCATGCCCAAAACAAAAAACAAAAAGCCCCAGATTTTGGGAGCTGAAATGATAGGCCTACTTCATGTTTTTTAATACTGGATTTGTTTTAAATATTGCAGTGCACAACAGAAACTGGCCAAACCATGTTCTTAAAAACACAAAGAACATCAGTTTTGAACATCGCTTAAATACCAGTATCTACTTCGGTATAGCATGCTTTCAGAGCACTGTATTATAGGATAGTGAAACCAGTGCACAAAATAAGCCTTCCGATTTAGTAGAGTGCTTATGGCACACATTTTAAGAGTGAATTAATGCCAGCCCTCCACTAGCCTGTAGTGACACTCAGGGCTTTTCACTTCACCTCACTATATATTAGTTTTTTTCTGTTGTACAACAGACATAATGATACTTTGCCTGCTTTTTGAAGCCTTCTGAGAATTGCAGCAATAACGTACTACATAAAAGGAGATATGCATTTATATTGAAATGCACCTATTCACAAAGAGCCAGCAATTTCCAGCTGGCTAGTTAAATCATTTTTATAAGCATTCATTCACAAAAAGCATATGAAAAATTTACCTGCTCATTTTTGCAGATCCACACAGTATTCCCCTGAAGCAGAATAAAGATTTTGGCTTTGTATCCTTTCAGCTCAAGATAACCACTCTTCTCAGGGGTGACAGAAGTTCGAGACTGAGGGTTATTATCAGACTGTGATTTCAAGGCATTGAGTATTGTATTAACCCAGTCATTCCTTTCTTCTAAACAAGAAAAAAAAAAAAAGACAAAGACATATGGTTAAGCAGCAGCTCCACTCTTCCAACATTGGTTTTCCTGTTCTTCCTACTCTATGCTCGTTGATGGCATAGATACAGCACATCAGAGAGAACGTTCACCTTGAAGAGGAGGTGTAAATAAAAATAACATAAGAACCCATATCAGTGGAGGTGTTAGCAAGGACAGACATGCAATTAACTCTCAAGAATCAACATAGAAATTGAAAGTTATACAAACTGATGATCAAGATTCTTAAAATAATGACTACTAGTTCTAAGATGCTTAATTCCAGACAGCTTAAAGACCAAGCTGGTAGACAGCTGGCATGTTCACCTTCTGTAGTTCTGTCCCATAGATTCAAGCAAAAACCAGGGAGCCTAAATATCATCTGTCATTAAAGAGGCAGGCCATGCTTTTAAGCAAAAACATTTGGCAATTTACAATCTATTCCATTAAGGTGTAGTGGTTAAGCTTGATACTGTCAAGGGCCCCAAGTAATCAAGAAAATGCATGTTTGAATATGTTTGCATGCATTAATTTAACATCTTACAAATACACAAACACAAGTAGGTGAAGTCATAAAGTTACACTCAGTCTCATTCACTATTATCAGATATTTCATCAGACTAAGATCAATACACTTTAATGCTGAATACTCCGAATGAATTAGACTTGGCCCATGCAATTAGAACATCACGAATATTTCAACTCTTTGCTCTGAAAGATTCAGGTCATAAAATAAAGTTGGGGGAAGGGGTTCTATCCACATTATATATTAAGTTGACACAATCAGTGCCAAACACTGCAAAGAACACCATTAAAACCATAACATGATTACTTTATAAATGTCATGGGTGCAACAAGAAGGAACAAATACATGAATTTAAGCATCAGAAAATAGTTCGAAGGTGAGGAAGATAGCAGGCTGACAGACTAGCACAAGGAAGGTGATCCAAGCACTTCTCTTACAAGTTTTATTCCAATACATGCTCTTTTAAAGTACTTTGAAAAGATCCCTGGAATGCCTCAGTATAGTTGAGGGCATGAAATTACTCTAAAAGTTTTTGGGGTTTTTTTAAAATGGCATTTCATTCCAGTTAAACAAAATCTCACTGCATCTGAGCAGATTACACTTTAATTCATTGCTGCCACCTAAGTACTTAACTTTTTGCCCCTAAATGCCCCTAAACTTTCTACTGCATTATATGTAGTTTTTCCCCTCTAGATATTTAAATCAATCAAAAAATAGTATATTTTTGATATACTGAAAATAATAAATCAGATCACTGAAAGTAACAAAATAAGCACTATAATCCACTGATTGGATAGACCAACCTTGGCACCAAGGGACACAGGTCAATGAAGACGATAGCAATTCTTTGTTTTAATACTCCAGCAGACAGGCAAGTTAATAAATAAGGTCCACAGGATGAAATATGTATAAAAGTCTCCATTTCATAATCTTTGAAAGCAAGTTAAGTACCCTTTGAATAGTCCCAGAAAAATTCCCAACAACTAATCCACAGAAGGAAGAGCATGAAGGAACAGCTTGCATGCATAACAAGCAAGCAGAGTTATTTACATAATTTACTATGAATACATCATCTAGCTCTGGAGATGGTAAGGACCAAATTACTTGTACAACACACATTTCTAACCTTCAGTGAACAGCTTTACAGACAGGTCAGTATGCCCAAAGATGGTTATATACTAAACGAAAACACAATTTAAAATATAGCAAGTGGTTGCCCTGAATATATTTCACAGGTCAGTATAAGTTGTTAATGTTTTTGTAGCATTCAAAGACAATGGCCCATAAAGCAAATTACAGCCCTACAAAATGTATTGTACTAAGATAGTTATGTTCCAATTTATAAAAAAGTAAAAAAATAAATTTGGAAGAAAAAGGCAAAACCAATAAGAATAGATATACTTTTTAACTCAGCTAAGAACATAAAAATGCCTGAAATTATTTGAGTCAAACCTGATAGGAAGGATTTGTTCACTGATGCTGCACTCCTTTTACAGCCTGCAGCAAGTGTTTACAACCAAGCTATAACCCATAAAAATGGGATTTGATAATGGAAACATGGAGAGACCCTTAGCTATAATGGGTCTGGCTTGCACTGCAGTAAATACATACTGCACATCTTTTTTTTTTCCTAGGTATTCCATTTTATTTGATTGTTTCCATAAATAAGTCATACATGCAATTATACTGATTCCATGTATTACAGCTGTAGGTTGGTAAAACATTAAATTAGAAGGCATACTAAATTCCTTACTAGAATTTACATTTGTATTCCCAGTCAATACATGGTTGAAAATACTGTATAAGGCACTAAATAAAGACATACAGAAAAACACAGATTTCCTTTGATCACAGCATCACATTCAAGCCATCAACTTCATTGTTGTTCTTTGTCAATTTTATATCAAGTGGTGACTTGGAGCAGATGGCTGAGAGCACGTAGGCTGTAAGAGCTTCTAGTGAGACCTGAGGAACGTCTAGAAAAATTCATCTTTGATTAGGATGAGGGAAGAGGCAGAAGAGTTGGAAAATAGTATTCTCATTTTGATATTTTTAAAAGCCAATCCCCAACAATTTAAGTCATTCTTACAAAGCTTACAGTTATCTCCAGTTTCACTTTATGAGTCCAGAACAGCTGGATTCCAGAAATATTTCTTGTAATATAACAAGTTATATTTCACAAACATAACTGATCAGCAATGATTACATAACTTTTTGGCAATCATTAGAATTATATGTCCTACTCACCTTCTTTATCCACACGGAATACAAAAGTCCTATGGGATGTGACAACTTCAAATTTGTTCTCCCCATGAACTCTTGCTGTTGCTATAGCCGAGAGCAGTATTACTCCCTTTGAGAACACTTCCTATAATAAAAATGCAATAGAAATAGTTAATAACTCTCATGGAACATTAAATGTCTCTTAGGTAATATTACTTGCCATGATGTTTAGGAAGTTCACATACACAGGCTGGGCACCTAAAAGTTCACCACACAATTAATAAAACTGCATCAATAAGTAAACCACTTCACTACCTACACATTGCCAACTTCACTGCACTGGGTCTGCACACCTATTGCCTTCTAAAAATAGAGTGAAATCCCATGGTGAGATAGGATGCATATATTTGAGATACCACTTCATAAATTGTCTCATGACACTAATATTGCAAAATATCGCACACATCAAAATCTACAATTTTATGCCAAAGTAAATGACATTGACTTTCTCACAGAAAAATAATTTAAAAAAAATAAGTATTATACTTGTAAAACAGAATCAGACAAGGTAAAAAATTGTGCCTTCTCCACGCAGAAAATTCTAAAGAATTTTTCTGTTCCTTCATCACTCTCCAGGAAAATCCATTTCCAAGTGGCTTGTATTTTAACCTAATTAACCTAAATATTCTGTATGGGGGGGGATGGAAGAAAAGCTCAAGCAGACATGCAATGCTTTGGAAATACTTCTGCACAACTCCTAGATTCCAGAGGTAATGCTGCTGCTCCTGTCCCCACTATGCTCTGATCAATTGGTTTTCTAAGACAACTCAGATATACTGCTAAGATTTATGATCCAGATGCAGTAACAGTCCAAGAGTCACGTCCCCATAAAGAATTTGTACTGCAATAGCTTTCCTCCTGAAGTATAAATTATTATAATAAACTTTATACAAGGACTGAAGGAGCCACTGTAAATGCTAAGCATGAAGGATATACAGGATCATTTTTTTTGTTTACTGAGTTTAATATACTACTGATTTTCACCAAATTCACACTCTTATGTTGTTTCACTTCTACGTAGTAATGTACATCAGTGAATGCAGTTTAGAAAATAAGTAGATAGAAATATAGAAATACAGCCGAAGTGATCATATCACTATCACTACACATAAGAACTACTCTGTCACTCAGAATGATCTTAGGTATTGCACATCTATTTTCACTATGGCTATATTTGTTAGAAGACAGATTTTAAAATATTTGATAATAAGTTTGGCTATTATGTTAACTACTGATCCTTCACAATGGCAAAGCAAACATTACATATGCAATTTCTAAAGGTGTTCAGATATATAACGGTGTTTGCAGGCATCTACTGGCTGTATTTGGTACTGTAAGAGAATAATTCAGACTGCTGGAAGTCACAGCTATTTCACTTTATTTGCATTTTAAAAAAAAGTCAGTTTCCTCTTAAACTGAGTATGGTTTTGGTTTTGCTATTTAAACAATCACCCTTTTAAAAGTTTTGTTCTCCAAGGCATGCATATTTTCAAACACACTTTAAACCATAATAATTTCTCAGTCTTTTTTCTGCAGTAGTTTCTCTCTCACAGGCAAGAAATAATGCCTACTGTTAAAAAGCTCTTGTTGATCGAGATACAATTTCTCTTTTAAATACTCCAGACGAGAAATTAGGCAAATTATTTAAGAATATATAAAACAGAACCAAACACACAACCAAGAATCTCACAGATATTTCTTCTGTTACGGAGAGGTGTACACTAGTTTTAGGGCTGATAAAAAATTCTCTGACAGAACCTAGGGAAAGAAAAATGGGTTTTTATTACTGCTTTGATTAAAGTTTTTATTTTCAAATATAGTCCAATTGAGTACTCCTTTACAGTTGTGTTTCAGAGCAGGGCTAAAAGATCCTGGAAAATACTGCTTTGCACTACTTTGGCTTTCCTTCCACAACAGATTAAATACAACATGCTTACTTACATATTTCAAGAACGACAATGATTCACTGTTTTGCAGTGAATTTTGTTCTTTGGTATGCTCACATGCAACATAACACAACAAAACACCGAAGTTTTCCACAGGAAATAGCAAGGCTTTTTCCTAAATCACTAATATATCCATCAAGATGTTTTTAAATAAAAAACTTTCAACATAACCAGCAGTTTTTGCCTTACTATAAAGTGCATGTTGCAGCACCGGCATTCTCCTGCCAAAAGTAGGAAGAAATTTGAAACAAAAGCTGTGCATATTGGTTAGCTAAAAAGAATTCTCAAATTCTGCCTTCCCCTCTTCAGTTTGCTCTCTCTCACTTCAGTTAACCACATACTGTTAAGACAATACCACACGGGATGTTGCTCTGACCACATCAACTTGCTCAGGAGCATGAATGCAGAAGAAATTAGCAGCATCACAAATTCAAACAAAAAGTGTTCCTAGGTCAGATGCTGGTGTAGAAAACTATTTTTTTCATGTATGCAGCTACAGAGATCTCTATCAATTAGAAGATGACGAAAAACTAGATCAAAGTTAGATAAATATTTAGAAAATTAAGGTTTAAATCATTCAGAAAAGCGTTTAGATGGGCTAAGTATACATTTTCAGGAATACTACCCCCTGTGCCTTCCCTCCCCATCCTCCACTTGTTTCATTCTTCATTAGCCATGTAGCACACTTCCTTTTCTTGAGAACCTCACTCAAGTTCCTAATTTGAATGACAAATAGAGCTATTTAATATCGGTAGTGTTTCTGGGTAAAATAGTTTCATTCCACTGAGTCTACTCTTCTCTGCATGTAATAATCAGAAAAATACCCAAGTATGGATTGGTTTCCTTTTGAGAACTACTTTTAGTTGATATATGAAAGTAAAAGTATAGCAATTACTTTATAACATGCTTGTCTGCATAGGAACATCCTTGGACAAACACATTAGAATAGACAGATCTTGCCATTAAAGTCTAGAGTTAAAACAACTTCCTCATTTAAATATAAGTGTGTGTGTGTGTGTGTGAATATATATACATATATATATTCACACACACACACAGCTAGGAGGAGGGACCTGCTGCCTTGCAATGAACTGTATAAATATCCCTATCTTTTACCAGAAGCAGCTCCTGAGCTACACGCAGGTCTTGATGCGTTTGCAAATAACTGTGCACGATGTCAAGGTAGCCACACACAAGCAACAGCAGGAACACGCTGGTATCCATTTAGCGGTGAATATGAATACTCTGGGTGTGGGAGCAGTGATCCAGCACAGACCACTGTACCAAAAGCACATGTTCCCAGGTTACACCACCGCTCACCCAACACAATCCCACTGTCCACTGACAACTATTGGTAGCCAACTATGTTTTGCTCCTATTTGCAAGCTAATCCAAGAGCTTCACCAGATCCTCAGTTCCCAGAATCTCCTTCAGGCCTCAGAGTTCTCAGACATATGAAGTTCTTAGCATATGTTGCTCATCAAGCTAACAAGCAGACACCCAAATTTGGTCAAATTGTATACACAGACATACCAACCAGCATCTCTCTGAATCCCAGGAGTGAGGTTTTGCAGACAGATTCCAGGAAAAGCGAGACAAAGAGGCTTCGGACAAAGCCTTTTGCAAGCTCCTCATAGTCTAACTTATCACAGAGACTGTTTAAATAGAGTATATAGAGTTGGCAGCTCTCGAAGCATTGTGTGACACACTAAATATTCCCCTGAGCAGAAGAGAAGATTTCTGGAATCTCCTAGGACAGACAAATGTGTAACAAGTATGATTGTAGAGCCACTGACCTCCAAGTAACTATTTCAGTGGACATTAAAAAAAAAGAAAAGAAAAAAAAAAAGAAAAGAAAAAAAAGAAAAGAAAAAAAAAAGAAAAGAAAAAAAAAGAAAAGAAAAAAAAAGAAAAGAAAAAAAAAGAAAAGAAAAAAAAATCCCCAGTACAGATACAAGACTTGCAATTCTGTATTAGATTTCTTTC